GCTGGCATAGATGTTGGCATTTGAGCGCAACCCCGGAAAATTGAAAAATTCGGATCCTCACATGGCACTACTGATAAATGTGATAACAGTTAAATAAAAGCAGTCACTCTGAAGTCCCTTCCATATTATCATTAGGAAGCACCTCATCTTGAACAGAAATTTATTAGTTTTTCCTTTTGTTCCCTATTTGCATTTATCAGCTCCATTAAGTACGCGCGTCTCGCAAAATCTCAACCCATGCCCCTCACCTCATTCAAGTCGAAGAGCGAGCGCTAGCTGTGACGAAGAGAGCGATGGAGCAAAGGATGTTTGTCCCAAAATCCGGATAAGCTGCAAATGCTTTATACGAAAAGCAAGATTTATTTTAAAAAATTTTGCCAAAATTTTTTTGGGTGTAAAACAGTTTTTTACCAGGTTGACGTCCCAGAGAGTCATGAAACCGATGACACCAAGATCGATGGACGCGATAGCGAATGCAACCCAAATTGAGCACATTGGTTGTGGGATCAAAAGCATCGCGATCACAATCATTACTAGCAGCGCTATCACTGAAAAAACTATCATTTGAAAAACCTTGAAAAAAAGCATGCGATTGTCCAAGAATTGCGAATTTTTTGAGAACAAAAGGTCTGAAAGCGATGGTTTGGTTGATAGTAACAATCTCTCAACAAAAGTAATTCCATTAGCAGTTGATATTCGGTAACCTAATGCGACTACATTTGTCTGCATGCTAATTGGTATTTGTCAAAAGCAAAAGTTACAGATTCAAATCAACTCTGACTGGTTTTTCTTTTTTTTTTTTTCAATCATCTATGTGAAGCGGAAATCACCAACGGTTTTGCTAGCGGATGACTGCTTTTGGCGACATCACTAATGACAGAAAAGATGAGTACCGCGGCTTTACGTTTATGATTCTACAGTAATTTTACAGTACTCCGCGGTACCAACTTTGCTAATTCTACAGTATTCAACGGGATCCTCTACAGTAGTGTACAAAAAACCGTACAGTATCACTGGCAGTTCTAAAGTCAAATTAATATACACCGTCACTGTGTCGCAAACGTTTTCACCTATAATGATGACTGGAAAACGAACGGATATTCTGCATGGTGTTAGGTACAACGATGGCATACTGATCAGTGAAAAGCCATAATGGCGAGAATGTCGTGATATTGTACGATGGATAACGCTCGGCCACTTCTCGGAACAACTTCGTCGCGTCCTCCTGCTGGTGGGTCTTCGAAATCTGCTTCATACCGATCAAAAATCTGCAACAGATGTGGGATTAAAAGAATGATCGGAAGCCATTAGCACGGTGAACCGATCCAGCAGTTCGAATTTTTGGCATAGATCCGGAACAAACAAATGTGTAGTCGTCAGAAAAGTTGTAAACTGCATGAAATGAAACTCCGATTCAGCTGCTTCAGGACTTTCAGGACAAGTTTATATGAAC